TTTGATAAAACAGTCATTGTCAAACATTAGCTACATATTTTTCTTTTTTTTTTCCCAGGAAAAACATTTATTATAGTATGATATGTCAGCTCTGCTACAGACAGCATAGACAGAGTAAATAATTATTTCATTACATGAGCTGTCTTAATGCACTAATACTTCAGATCGAAATATTTAAAAATACACAACATGTAAAAGAATAAAAGTGCAATAAAACACAAATTTACTTATTCATATTATACTGGGAACAATGGTCTGCTGGTCAAACTGAGAGAAGTCCAGTGACTTCTGAGACGTCCTGGTACACAGGCTAAAGCTAAGGATTAAAGAGAAGTTATCCAAAGTGTAATAGAAAATACACATCTGATTCCTTCACATTCAGAAACAACATATATTTTCAGCATGATCCTGACTAACCTTTCCTCACAAAATCCTCTGGTCTTTAATGCACTTCCCCTCTAACAGCAGTTTCTCATCAGCTCTCATTAGAAAACAGTCTGAAAGCGTTAACTGCTACGCTAACAATCAGTGGTTACTTCGGGCCAATTTAGCTACATAGGAAATATTTCTCTGTTGTTTAGAAGCTAGTTTCTGGCCACAAAGTCAAGTAATTCTGCTAGAAAAAATTACATTATTATTTCCTTTAATCCTACCTGTGAAAGGTAATGCCAACAAATATAGTTAGTATTGTAAACGGTTGAAAAAAGTCCACACAGCACATGACTTGGGGAACTCAGATTGCTCTACTGCCACATACAACATGACGGCGACGTAACGCAGGACTCGGCGCTCAGTGAGACGTCTACATATTCATGTTTATGGCTGTTAGCAACGTCCAGATGCTAGTTTTAGCAGATGCCAAAGTTTGTATTCAGTTCAGCCTCTTTACTAAAAAAATAATTTCACTTCGATCATACCAACATTCCAATTGATCATAGTTATCAAATAGTCTCAGTTAATTATTCAAAATAGATTAAAAAGATTTTAGCTATGGAAACCCAGTCGATTGCATCAAGTCATTTACTTGCAGGGAGAATTAAATAAGTAAATTTTTTACACTTGTAGTCAAATTTATATTGTTTTAGGAGTTAAGATGATTGGCTCATTTGATACTAGGTAAACATTTATATTTTTGGAAACTCATGAAATGCACTTTTTAATTTGGTTCAGAAATGTCTTATTGATCCCAAGAAGAAATAATATGTTGTAGTAACAACTGCAATAACCTGTACTGAAGACACTGTTGTTGTATTGCAGTGTTTTCTTTTTCTTTGCTTCCAGTTTTCATTCTAAAACTATCCAGGTCATCGTTGAGTAATTTAAGTCTTAATACCTTTATCCAGAGAATATTAAGTACTGTAAAGGAGCAGAAAATCCCTTTAGTCAAACACCAGATCAGAAACTAACTTCAGCATCGTTCTGGATTCCCACACATGAAACAGAATTAGATTTCTTTGAACCAAGGGTGTCAAAATTCCAGTTCTTCATGTTTTATCACCTGGGGCCTCATGCGTAAAGCGGCGTGCGCACAAAAAATGTACAGCGTCATATTTTACGCACAAGTCGGCATGTATAAAAATTACCTGTGCATCAAAGTTTACGTAAATATACGCACACTTTGTTGCTGGCATGAAAATATGCGGCAGCCACGCAAACCTTTTTATTTAGACCAAGAAGCATCAAACCCGATGTTTTTCATGATTTTAATATTTTATTGCTTAAACGTAAACAATGAAACTGAACCGCATTTATCCTCAGACAATAAGCTAACACGCACAGAAAATAAGAATGACAGGATGTGAAAACCTCACTCAAATGTAAATAGTAATTTTCCTCCGTACAGACCAAAAACTCATTGGTCTGTGCGCCGAAGCGCATGAATTGCATCTATGGGGTAATTTTATTCTCACTAAAAAAAGAAAACAGGGTTGGATCAGCAGATTAACCCAAACTTGCTGATTGAAAGTAATCAACAGGTTTGATTATTTTTAAGGTGATCAAGGTGTGTAGACAGTCCCACGTATACAAGTAGCTGCGCAAAGGTGAGCTGCGTAATTGTGGAGCTTTGTCTTTAAAATATTTTTATATTTGTGAGGTGACGTTATGTGCCTTTAAAGCACCGTTTACATAAAATACATAAAGATTATTATTATAAATACTTAAACTGCTTCAAACAAGGACGTTGCCATGGTTACTGCTTCATGTGGCGGCAGATTTCTGCGTATTTATAGTAATTTACTTAATTTGTATTCATGGGTGCCGACAGGACCGACCAGCAGCTGCGCTCCATTTCGTGCAAATTAGGATTTATAGAGGAATCGGATGCATAAAGCCGTGCGCACACACGTGGCCGCGCACCTTTCCTTTATAAACCACCATTTGCGAGAAACAGAGCAGCTGCTGGTCTGCCTGTCGCCTCCCATAAATACATATGTAAATTAGTATAAATACCTGGAAGTCTGCTGCCACAGGGGCAATAACCATGGGAACGTCCTTATTTCTAGCAGTATACGTTTTTATAAAAATATATTATATATACTTTATTTAAAAGGTGCTTTCAGGGCACTCGAGGTCACCTCACAAAAATAAAAATACATTTTAAAGAAAGAAAAAAATCCAAATAAAAATTAAATGAATAAAAAGATTGTGCAAATGCCTGTTTGAACCGCTGCGCTTTCAGGCAGGATTTAAAGACAGAAGCTTGTCAGAGAGTCCATCGAGTGGGGAAAGTGGCCCTTCATTCTAAATAGTAGAATCATGTGCATAAATTGTACATTTACAGAATAGAGATGCTTTATGTGCATCACAAAGCAGGCGGCTCCACTGAAGGATGGCTGCAGCTGACCGGTATCTGTACCGCACAGCTCTTTAAGTTTTGCTCAGAGATCCAGGATGATCAGTCTGAGCAATCTAAACGCTAAAAAACCATCATCAACATTTCCCAGGAGATCAATATGATCAGTCGCTCCCTCTGAATCCTTCCACTGACGATGTTCTCCGTCAGAGCCAAAACACTCCTCATTTACGCAGCTCACCTTCGCTCAGAAACTTGAAATCTTGTGATTGCATACACACCTTGATCAACTTAAAATAATCAAACCTGGCCTGCTTGGAGTTAATCTGCTGATCCAACCCTGTTTTCTTTTTTTAGTGAGAATAAAATTACCCCATAGATGCAATACATGTGCTTCAGCGTACAGACCAATATTTGATACAGAAGTGATCTGGAAGGTTCATACAACAATAAAAGATCTTTAATGTATTTTGGTGCTGAGCCGTTCAGTGATTTATAAACCAACAACAGTATTTTAAAGTATATTCTCTGAGCTACATGGATCCAGTGAAATGACTTTAGAACCAGTGTGATGTGCTCTATCATCCTGGCTTTAGTGAGAATCCAAGCAGCAGCATTGTGGATCAGCTACAGTTGTTTAATCAATTTTTTTAGGCAGACCTGTGAAGACACTGTTGCAGTAATCAACCAGACCTTGCTGGGACATTAGTCCTTTAATCCTGGAAATGTTCTACAGGTGATAGAAGGTCGATTTTGTAACTGTCTTTACATGATTCTGAAGGTTCAGGCCTGCATCCATCACTATTTGACTTCTCACAGTGAATGATCATCAGGAAAAACCAGGCTGATGCATGAGACTGTGATCAATTTAATTATATTAATGATGTCTTCATTTGCCCCTACAGATCTCCAAAACCCACATGTCTCCTTTGAGGAGAAAACTTCTGCCATTCAACAGGTCTCTAACCAGGAGAGGAGGTCCAGTCATGACCAGGAAGAAGCAGAGCCACAGTGGACTGAAGAGGAACAGATGGAACCAGAAGCTCCACTGATTAAACAAGAAGAACAGGACCCAGAGCCTCCACTGACAGAAGATCATTGGAAAATAGAACCTAGAGGGACTGGATAGGTGGAACCAGAACATCCACTTATATATGAAGAAAATGAGGAACCAGATCATTCACTGCTTAAACATGAACAGCAGGAACCAGAACATTTACCAACTGGACAGGACCAGAAAGGCCTCTGCAGCAGTCAGGAGGGAGAGCAACTTGTCCAGAAGCAGATTGTTGCTTTTAGGGACACTTCTACCTATCAGGAGGGTGATTTGAGTAGAGAACCAACAACTGATCATTACTTTCACATCTCTAATGTAATTGAGAGCAAAGATCAGGAAGGAATCAGCTTCACTGTATCTGAGAGTGAGTCTGATACCGACATAAAGGAAAGGTCTTTGAAATGTGATATTTGTGGGAAAGGTTTTGAAAATCAGCATAACTTTAAAAAACATTGCAGAACCCATAGGCCCTTTTCATGTGAAACATGCAGTAAATGCTTTTCTAATATTGGTCATTTAAATATGCATAGGAGAGTTCATACAGGTGAGAAACCCTTTTCATGTCAAGTATGCAAAAAAACATTCTCTCAAGAGGGTAATTTAAAAGTCCACATGAGAATTCATACAGGTGAGAAACCCTTTTCATGCCAAGTATGTGGAAAAAAATTCAATCAAACTAGTTCTTTGATTACACACAAGGTAGTTCATACAGGTGAGAAGCCTTTTTCTTGTGAAACATGTGGGAAAAGCTTCTCTCAAACTGGTTATTTAAATATCCATAAGAGAGTTCATACAGGTGAGAAACCCTTTTCATGCCAAGTATGCAAGAAAACATTTTCTCAAGTTTGTAATTTAAAAGTC